TCTCTTTTTCTTCCCCCTCTCCCTCCTTCCCTCTTACTCCTTCCTTCCTATCTTGCTGTCTTTCTTTTGTGTGTATGTCATTCATTTTTGTTCTTTTGTTTATTATTGCTCTCTTTGCGTTTTCTCTCTTCTTTTAATAACTCCTTGGGTTAGATGCTTACCTCATTAATTATCCATCTTTCCTCCCTTCCACCAATATATGCATTTACATAGTTTCTTCCAAGTATTATTTTAACACTATCCTAAAAGTTCTGTCAGTTTCACCCTAATGGCACTATGATTAATTATTTGACCCATGAATGTTTTAGAAGACTTTTTTAAATTACTGAAATGTGTGAGTTCTTTGTGGTATTTTTATTATTGGTTTCTGTTTTTTTTTAATTGCTTTATGTTCAGAGATTATCTGTAAGAGAGGGTGAGACTTTTCTGTAGCCTGTCAGTTGTTTAAATGTCCCATATGCCCTTGTAGGGAACATGTACTTATTAAGAAGCCAGGTGCAGGGTCCATTAGATCAAGCTTGTTAATTTTGTTCAGTTCCTCTGTATTTTTGCTAAATTTTTGCCCTTCTCATCTGTTGAATACTCAGATATGTATTAATATTTCCCACAATGATTGTGCTTTTGTTGACTTTTCCTTGTAATGTGGTCAGTTTTTGCCATATATAACTTGAAGCTATGTTGCTAGGCACACGATAGTTTATAATTCTTTCTAGCTTCCTGGGAGATTGTTACTTTACCATTATGTATTGACTTTATTTATCCCCATAAGGCTATTTGCCCTAAATCCTATTTTATCTGATGTTAAGAGAGCCACCCCACCTTCCTTTTGATAAGTATTTGCTTGGTATATATTTGCGCTATCAATTTGCACTTTTTTCCCCTTTTTATGATATTCACTAGAGGCCAGGTGCACAAATTTGTGCACAGGTGGGGTCCCTTGGCCTGGCTGGCGATCGGGGCTGATTGGGGCTGTCTCGCCCAGTCCGGGTTGAGGGTGGTGGGGGGAGAGGGACACCGGGAGGTTGGCCGACCGTGGGAGTTTGGTTGTGGGAGCGCACTGACCACCAGGGGCAGCTCCTGTGTTGAGTGTCTGCCCACTGGTGGTCAGTGCACATCATAGCGACCAGTCAACCAGTCATTCGGTCGACTGGTCATAATGGTCGCTTAGGCTTATATATATATAGATTGTATTAGTTTTATGTAGTTTCTATAACAATTCCTCACAATCTTGGTGGCTAAAAATAATAGAAATATATTGTCTCGCAGTTTTGGAGGCTAGAAAATAAAAATCAAGGTGTTGGCCAGGCCATGCTCCCTCTGAAGGTTCCAGGAAAGAATCCTTCCAAGCCTCTTCTAGCTTCTGGGAGTTGTTGAAAGACCTTGGCATTCCTTGGCTTGCAACTGCATCACCCAATTTCTGCCTCTGTCATCAAATGGTTTTCTTTTTCTGTGTGACTGTCTCTGTCTCTTTTTCTCTTCTTATAAGGACACCAGTAATCTTAATTTGATTACATATACAAAGACCCTATATCCAGAATGGTTCCCAAACCAGGTTTTGGGTAAATGGGAACCTTTACCTTCATAATTAAAAATTCGTATGAAACGCCGAAACCGGTTTGGCTCAGTGGATAGAGCGTCGGCCTGCGGACTGAAAGGTCCCAGGTTCGATTCCGGTCAAGGGCATGTACCTTGGTTGCGGGCACATCCCCAGTAGGGGGTGTGCAGGAGGCAGCTGATCGATGTTTCCCTCTCATCGATGTTTCTGACTCTCTATCTCTCTCCCTTCCTCTCTGTAAGAAATCAATAAAATATATTAAAAAAAATTTGTATGAAACATTTAAGGTATAAAAAAGTCTCATGTCTTGTGCATGTATAAGCCCTATTACTCCAGCCTTTTGTTAATGCAAAATCCATCCTTCATCCCACTCCAGCAGGTATAGTCTCAACTCAGATTTTAACTTACCTCTGGAAGTTTCCCTTTCTTTCTTGCAAGCTCTGCTATGTATTTAAAATATTTTTAAAGTTTCTAAAAAATATATTTTTATTGCTTTTGGAGAGGAAGGGAGAGGGAGAGAGAGATAGAAACATCAATGATGAGAGAGAATCCTGCCTTCTGCATGCCGACACGGGATCAAGCCCACAACCCAGACATGTGCCCTGACTGGGAATCAAACCGTGACCTCCTGGTTCATAGGTTGATGCTCAACCACTGAGCCACACCTGCTGGGCTTAAAAGTTTTTTATTCAGCATTCTAGGTGCTTTACTGGAAACTTTTAATGTTGTTTTAGCCTTCCTTCTTGCTGGAAACAGAAATATCTATCAAAGTCAGTTTTTTATAGCTTTATTGAAAATTTTCACATAGCATCTCATCCATCCACTTAAAGTGTACAATGTAGTGAGTTTTAGTATGGCCAAACAAATTTGGCCAAACATCACCACAAGCTAACTTCAGAACATTTCTATCACTGAAAGCCACCCCATATGTGTTAGTAGTCACTCCCCATTTCCTCCCCTAATCCCCTCAGCCCTAAGCATATATTAATCTACGTTGTGCCTCTACAGATTTGCATATTCTGTACATTTCATGTAAATGAGATCATACAATGTGTGGCATTTGCTGACTAGCTTTGTTTATTTGGCATAATGTTTTTAAGGTTCATCCATGTTGTAGCGTATATCACTCTTTTATTCTTTCGTATTGCCAAATAATATCTCATTGTATGGTGCTGCGACCTTCGCGGCGGGGTTCAGGATCTGAAAGAGGAGCCGATGCACAAATGAAAATACTATACAAGAAATATGAATTTAGAAGGCATTGGGGGCCAGGTGGAGCCTCTTTCTTGAAGAGGCACACCGACTTCTGGCCTGGTCTGCTATTTATTTACTTGAATACATATTTGCCCTTTAGCAATGCATACAGGCTTATCAAAGGTAAAGTTTGGTAAACAGTAAAAGGATTATCAGGTTAGGGCAGTGGTTGGCAAAGTCATTAGTCAACAGAGCCAAATATCAACAGTACAACGATTGAATTTTCTTTTGAGAGCCAAATTTTTTAAACTTAAAATATATAGGTAGGTACATTGTTATTAACTTAATTAGGGTATGCCTAAGGCTTAGGAAGAGCCACACTCAAGGGGCCAAAGAGCCTCATGTGGCTCGTGAGCCGCAGTTTGCCGACCATGGGGTTAGGGAATTGCCTTGAATTGCCACCGCTATCTCAACACGAACAATCTGTGCTTAGCTTCAGCCCTGCTAACGCCCAAGGTCCATCGGCCTTCCACGTTCCTTGGTGCACTCTCGTGACAGTATCGGCAAGCGGTGGCTTCCTGCAGTATGGATATACCTCATTTTATTTATCCATTCTTCAGTTAATGGACATTTAGTTATATGAATTCTGTTGCTTTGAAATGTGTATGAGTTTTTGTGTAGGTATATATTTTCATTTCTTTGGGACATATACCTAGGAATGGACTTGCTGGATCATATGATAAGTATATTTAGCATTTTGAGAAACTGTCAAACTATTTTCCAAAGTACTTGCACCATTCTACATCCCCCTAACAATGTCATTTTAAAACCCAACTCAGGTGTTTATACTTGACATGGATAGAGTTCTTGTAGATTTTTTGAGCATGGTGAAGGTGATGTTATTGGAATTGCACATTAATGTGGAAGGAGAGATTAAAGACCAGGAAGCTGGTAGGAGGTGCTGCAGTAATCAAATTCTCAGTTGCTGGTGCCTGTATTGGGATGGTGGCAGGCAGGAAAGATGTCAGGGTTCCCAAAGAACAGTGGAGATGATTCTCAGGCAGAAAAATGATTTTCAACTAAGTTCAACTCTGAGATATTCATTCAACCTTTGCCTTCTAATCTTGGTATTACAGAAAATAAATACCTGTTTTTAGAGAAGCAGAAAAGGGAATGAATACAAGTCTTGCCATTATGTGATAGAGGACCATGTGACTGGAACAGACCTGTGGGTCTGTGATTTGCATGGAATTCCTTAAAGGTTGCATCCTCCTAGGTTAAGTGGGCTGCCCACTGTGAAGGCTGAGGGAACGATCTACAACCCTAGTCCATGTTTTTCCTACCAGTGGCAGCAGTGAGACTTTTGTGGATATAGTTCTGCATGTGTGTGCACGTGTGTAGTGTGTGTGTGTTTGTGTGTGTGTGTGTGTGTGTGTGTGTACTGAGTAGCTTGGGCATTTGAAATGGCCAAGTAGCTGAGTAGTAAAACCTCCCATAGCTCTAGGATTTAAAAATTGCCCATGAAGCTGTTCATCGTGTAATGGGACAATAGTTGTAAAGCTGCCGCCATCCGGAAACTTGCAGTTGCTCAGTGAGGCTTGTTGCCGGGGCCTCCTACACTACTTGGCACAGTTATCACCCTTATGGGTTTTTTCCTGCTGTAATTTATTCTCAAGCATTTTGTATTTCCTTTGCCATTTAGATGAAATTTAAATAAAACCTTTAAGTAAAGAACCGTGTCAGGCTGTTACACACTTTAAACTCACGATAAAAGCAATCTGTATATCGTTCTTTGTTCAAATGAAGTAAAAACACCTGTATTTTTGCAGTTTCCTGTTACCAGCTCTTCTTATCTAGTGTTATATGGGGTGTCTCTGGGCCTTGCTAGCCTTGTTGTAATAGCCCCTTGGAGAGAGGAAAACAGGCATGAACAATAGCCCCCGTTCTGTCCCATTTCTTGTATCCCCCTCGGTTACCACTCCGGGCAGTCTCTTTTATAGACCCCAGTTCTCAAAAAGGGAGAGGGTTTAGGTAACAAGACCTAAACCCACAACTCACCTTTGCCTTGCCCCTCCTCTCAATTCTCAATATAGATGTGCTCAGAGCATATTCCCAAGACTGATCAAATGAGAACATAATTCTTTCCATGACAGGTAATGTTAAAATTTCCATTGAAGCTGCATCTGAGCTTGAGTGACATATCACGATATAGTGGTTTTCAAATAATTCTTTTTTCCCCTCCTTTTTCTAGGCTTATCCAAATCCCTTGGGCTCATTGAAGGTTATGGTGGGCGGGGCAAAGGGGGCCTTCCTGCTACCCTTTCCCCAGCTGAAGAGGAAAAAGCCAAGGGACCCCATGAAAAGTATGGCTACAATTCCTACCTCAGTGAAAAAATCTCGCTGGATCGTTCCATTCCGGATTATCGTCCCACCAAGTAAGTTCTGGTTCAGTCATTCAGAGGAGATCCCTTGATCCTATGGGTGGACGAAGACCCCAGTCTGTGACATTTTCTGATGTCATTTGTAACTCGTGAGGGAGCTTTTATCTCAGTCTCCTCCACAACCAATAAACTGAGTACTGTTGATTATGAAATATTAGCTAAATAAAACATTTGATTTGTATAAAAGCAACCCAGAAACATATAGAAAGGTCTGCAATACAAAAAGTTTTCAATAAAAATCAGAAATCACCATGATCTCATTACCTAGAGATAGCAACTGGTAAAGTCTGTTTTCTCTGCAGATTATGAGAATATGATATATTGTTTTACCTCTTTTTTTTTTCATTTAATGTTATTTCATGAGCATTTTCTGATGTTACTAGCTATGATCATTATTTCCATTGTTTGGGACTTTGATTTTTCATTATTATAAATAACACTTCGATGACTAGCTTCCCATTCAAGTTTTTATGTGTATTGATTAGATATTTATTTTCTTAATTCATATTTCTAAAAGTATAATCCTTAGATCACATTGTAGGAATATTTTTGGAGGCTCTAGACACATATTGTGACATTTCCCTCCCAAAAGTTTATAGCAACCTCTACTCCTTTTAGAATTTTAATTGACCATTCCAAAACTGGGTGCTGCCATTTAAAAAATGCTTTGCCAAGCTGATAGGTAAGAAAGTACATCCATGGCTGTTTCTACTCTTTTGTCTGAGATTCTTACCATTTAAACAGTTTCTTTGGCATCTTGATTGTCTTATGAAAGTTCTTTTTTCTATGCCCTCAGATTTAAGAATTATTTGTTTTCTCCTGGTGAAATAGAAAAAAAGAAATTGCTCATAGAATCAAGATGCTGGAGGGGAAACCTATTTTCTAAGCAGGAGTCCGCCTTGGCCTCTCAAAAAGATTTTTCGTTTCCTGTTAGGTTTGTAGTGTCTTTCTTTTTCTATTCAGAGTGTGCCCTTGTTTAGAGCAGATTATTTCTTTTTCAAATGAGTTTTCTACAAATCAGTTAAGTATCCTGGTTACTGAGAAAAATAGATTTGAGATAAAGAAAATTATCTTAAATGGATTTAAAATTGCAGGATTCACATGGAACCTGTTAACTCTCTCTCCCTGCCTAATAAGCATATATTCATTTGAATCGCTAGGAAAAATATACATCACCCCTGTTGGAAACTGTTTTGTATTCCTGGACTTTTGCTTTTAAAAACATCTGGCTGTTTTCATTTTCTGGTACTCTCTGATTAGCCTTCCTTATTTGGACATTGGCAAATAAACAGAGTCCTGTTCTTTTCACTCCTATGAGAATGAAAATGCTTCCAACATAAAGCTACTGGAAATGGGTCAGTTGAACAAATATTAGTGAGCACCTATTATGTGCCAGATGTTTTTCCCCACACTAGATAGAGGCAGGACATTGGATAAGACACAGTTCTTGCCTACTTACTATTTGTCTAGGGAGGGAGACAGATGTGCGGGCAGATTAATTCAGCACAATATGGTCTGTATGGTGTGTATCAGGCCAGAGATATACATAACATGTGCAGGGAGTATATCGGAAATATTCCTGCTCAAGATGGTGCCTGAGCTTAATTTTGAAGGACCAATAAAGGTTGGAAAATTGAAGAAGGGAGACGGTTAAGGGCAGACTAGGCAGGGGAACAGAGTTAGGGGTGCAAATAAAAAATGGTGTGCTCAGGGAAGAATGTATAGGCCCATAGTGCTCTGTAGTGTAGCATGGTGGCTTGAGCATGCCACTTATTTCTGGTCACTCCTGAAATTTCACTAAATAAAAGACTAGAGAAGATGGCACCCTAGTCTAAGGGACAACTAGACAGACAGTGACAGCGGGGAAGAGTCACCTACAGAGTTTTAGAAGATGGCAAGAGGATGGATGAAAGGTAACCGACAGCAAACTGGATGAGGCTGAGACCCAACTGCCTGCATATGGTAGAGAGTGGTGGTAAGAGCAGAAGAACATAGCCTAATCATACCTCAGGATGCCAGAGACCCAGAAATGGGAGGTTCTGGGTACTTCTGATGGCTGGGAGGTAGATTTGAGTAGAAGGATTGCAGTTGGATCTTTGGATCCTTTCTCCAACTCTGCACAACCAGAGTCTATCCTTTTCTACCCAGTGGAATATGGGAGGATTCCTCTCTGGAGAAGGTGAACTCTGGGCTTTAGTTCATAAGATGTAACCTAGGTCAGAGGATAAGGCTGCATACTAAATGGAAGCACTCTCAACCTCATTACCCCTCAAGGCTTTTATAACTTCATAGTCAAGTATTTGAAGAAACTACTCTGAGGAAACCATCTAGCCTAAGAAAAAGGCCAATAGATATGAGAGTTGGGGGTATACTCCCCAAATGGTTGGGTTCTGCTCACGAACTATCAGTAAATTATGCCTGTTGTAAAGCTCCATCCAACTATTCATACTGTTTTAATCTAAAATATGAAATGAGAGCGAGGACCCCTAGACATCTCAGGAGAGTCTCTGTTATGAAAGGCCTTAGCAACAGCAAATAGAAAACATATTTGGAGGAAACAGAGATTACAAACTTTATAACTCATGACATAGAGATATCATGTCATGACATAGAAATGTGTTTTATTTGCAAAACATGAGTCAAGTGCTATGTTAAAGTAATAATCAGAGAATAAAAAACAAATCTTGGAAGTTATAAATGAGATAGAAATAAATAATGTAATAAAAGGTTGAAAGACAGCATTGAGGAAGTCTTCTGGAAGACAGAAAAAATAAAAATATGAGAGAAAAAGACTTGAAAAGAATTAGATCAGTCCAGTAGGTTCAACATCAACTAATAAGAATGTCAGAGGGGAACAGAGAAAACAGAGAGAAGAAAATCATCAAAGAAATGATACAGGAAAATTTCCCAGAACTCTAGAGTTTTCAGATTGGAAAGTCCCATCCAGTATCTACATGCTGAGTGAAAGGGAAAATATTAAGCCCAGATTAAGAAATGTAAATTAAAAATTTCAGATCAGCATGGATGAAGAGAAAGTCCTAAATGCTTTCAGAGAGAAAAGTGACTCAAATACAGTTGGTATTGGATTTCTCAGTAGCAACAGTAAAAACTGGGAGGCAAGTTTTAAAAAGCATTTTCAACTTAGAATTCTAGAGTTAACCATAGAATAGTTTGTGCCAAGAGCAAGCAGAAAGTAAATACATTACATTTATGTAGGGTCTCAACAAGTTTACCTTCTCCGCATCTGTTTTCAGGAAGCTACTCAAGTATATGCTCCAGTAAAACAAGGGAGTACAATAAGAAAGAGAATGATAATAGGAATGAGGAAATGGGTTCAAACAAGAGAATACTAAAAGCAGATCCCAGAGAGATGATGAAGGGCTGTCCAGGGTAACATTTCAAGGTTAACCTGTAGGCCAAGGGATCAACTATTTCACATTAGGACAGGAGGATGGAAGGATATAAGAGGAATGTATACCAAGGGGGGGGGGGGGAGAGGGGACAAAATTGTTTAATTACTTTGTTTCTTACTGTATTAAGATTTTATTTTATTTTTTTCAAGAGTCACTACAGTTTTATTATACATAATAAGTATAAACCCCACGTAAATCTTTAAATGATAAATCCTAGGGAACAAGCTTTTCAATATTGGTATAATATTCAAAATTAGGTAGTACAAACATTTCAAATAAGTAATAAAAAAGATTGTCATATTTACATAGCGTTGACATGATTGGAATAGTTTTTGTTAATATTAGTAACATATGTATGTTTATGTGTGTGTGCATACTTAATGAAGGCCGTGCTTTGTTTACGATCAACATTTAATAAATACTAGCTTTTTAAGTAAATGACCTCTTTACTTTGAAAGATTTTATTAGAATAATTATATATAATGGATATACACTTCTTCATATAGTTAAAAATTTCTACTGGATCAAATAGACTTTTTAAACAAAAATGTTTTTATTAATTTCAGAGAGAGGAAGGGAGAGAGATAGAAACATCAGTGATGAGAGAGAATCATCAATAGGCTGCCTCCTGCACTCCCCTACTGGGGATCGAGCCCACAACCCTGGCATGTGCCCCGAGGGGGAATCGAACAGTGACCTCCTAGTTCACAGGTCAAAGCTCAACTACTGAGCCACACAGGCCAGGCTCAATTAGACTTTTTTCTCAGTTACTGAGAGTTGGTAAGATTTAACTCTATGAATGAAAAATATGATTTATTTCTTCCATTCCAGTTTACATAAATATCTGGTATCTGAGCCCTAGGCTACAAAAAATACAACTGGCCATCTCTCACATGTAGCCCGAGAGAGGATTCATTTGCTATTAGAAGTGAAAAAGTCCAAGAAAGCTGAATCTTAAAATCTAAATTGTACCATCTGATGACTTTTAAAAAATTATTTTTATTGAGGTATAATTGACATACAACATGTTATTTATTTCAGGCATAATGATTTGATATTTGTCAACATTGCAAAATGATCACCACAATAAGTCTAGTTAAAATCTGTCATCATAATAGCTACAGAATTTTTTTCTTATAATGAGAACTTTAAGACCGACTCTTTTAGCAGCATTCAAATATGCAATACAGTATTATTAACTGTAGTCACCATGGTGTACATTACTACTCCATGAAGTATTTATTTTGTAACTAGAAATTTGTATCTTTTAACTCTCTTGACCCATTTCTCCCACCCCTCCACCCCATGCCTCTGGCAACCACCAGTTTTTTTTCCTGTATATAGGAGATTGTTTGTTGTTGTTAGATTCCTTATATACTAGTAAGGGAGATCATATGGTATTTATCTTTTTCTCACTTACATCACCTAATATAATGGCCGAATAATATTCCCGTGTGTGTGTGTGTGTGTGTGTGTGTGTGTGTATGTATATGTATATCACATATTATTTTTCTATTCACCTATCAATGGACACTTAGGTTTCCATCTTGGCTATTGTAAATGATGCTGCAATGAGCATGA